CATTTCCTTTTTAAATTTAAAAAAATACTAGAAATCTGCACGTAACTCAGTACTCTGTAGACCAATTCAACCAATTACCGCCCTCTGTCGGCAACAGTTCAAAGCTGAACCATAGCTGTCCTACAGAACCGCGTTTATTGAACGGTTTGATTTGATAGAAAAGAAGTTTCATTCAAGTGAAATTTATGTCGACCACTGACGTAGAAAGTCAATACACTCTGTTTCAGTGCAACAAATCATGAATAGTAAAAAGGCGCGGCTGTAGTAAAGCAATTTTAAATTAATTGAAGTTTACATCACAGATCAACGCTTTTCAAATTAAATAAATTAAATAGCAGTAGAACGTGATCTGGAAAGTGTGTTGTATTGATTGTATTAATAATTAAATTTTCTGTACCGTTTACTGTTATGGGTGTCATTTGCAGTCAATTACAAATTCGCTATTAAGTATCTGTGTCACAAAAATACTTTTATGTACGACTGCTTGATAATGCAGTGATTACAGTCGCAATTAGTAGCCATAATTTGCAATATTATGACCTAGTCCATAATGATAAAGTAAAACGACCGCCTGTCAATGTGACAGTCGTACTTATAGGTATCAATCCAAGGTAAATTCAAGTATTTTAGAAATGCTTGACATCTGTTGTCAATGATATATAGATTTTATCGTTTATTGAATTTCATGAAATTTTCTTTTTTAAGGGTTGTTGTAGTCGTACATAAAGCTTTGTATATATACCGGTCCATAAATAGGCTTTATAGGGACTCGCCTTGTTTATTTGTGCCTCGCTCGCAAGCTTGCTCGGCTAAATAAACGGCTCGTCCATAAATACCCAGTTTATGTACTTGATTTATAAATAGCTAGTAAGGTGTATGTAGTAATGTAATTTTATTTGACATTGTTTCTGGTGTTCGACACCAAATTGGTACCTACAGAATCAACCACTATCTATTTTATCTATCTAATACATCGTTATTCGATATTAATTTAATTAGGTAGATGAATCAATTGATGATATAATTAGCTATTCGTTTTTATGAAAATGTCTCCGCACGGATGATTCTAGTTGTACTTTTGCGGTAGATATTTACGTTTACAAATAAATAATCGAAAAATGTCTATAATGTTCTCGAATTCTAAGAGAGACCTGGGTATTGGCATTTACTGGCAATTACACTGGAATCTTTTCGAACAAAATGACTCACAACTCACATAAGTCGAGACCGACAGGCGCTAGATAAAAGGTTGCATCCATGTAATGTCCTTTACAATATGTATTAAATGGGGTGGTATTGTGGTAACGCGACACGGGATTTAATACCTCGTTTAATACTGTTAAATCCGCAACGTGCAAATAATTTGCTACTCTCGAGGCGCTGACTTTGAAGTTTAATTATACGTTGATATATTTTTCTCTATTTTTGTTACACAAAATTTGTTCATTCGCTTTTTATACTAGAATCTTAAAAAATGATGGTGCGTATTAATAAAAGAAAATTAATAACAATGATATTATTAATAACAATGATATTACCATAGGCTATCACTACGGATCAAAAATTGTTATGGACTTCAGAAATTATTATATTGTGAAGGAAGTAGATAGTGAAAACAGCCGGAGGGAAGTTGGGGGGAGAGTCGTACACTGCAAAGTTATACGTTGCGTTTCATCAAAGTTTGGTTTTTAAGACTACTATGAACATTCATTATCAATATCTTCTAGGCTTGATTTTTACATGACCATCATCGCCATTCAGATTTATTACAAAAAGTCCTATGACGACATATATTTGAAGTTCATTCATCTTTAAAATATTACGATGTTGTATTTCCTCGCGTTTAAAATTTAGGCTATTGTTTGTATTTATCATACTTATTTCTTCTCTAAAAATCCTTTGAAGGTCATCATTCATCAAACTTTGGTTCACGCGTTTACTGAACACGCACTTCGGGTTTTTCGTATTCACGCAATTTCTCTTTTCAATTGGAAACCATTAAAACTTTTCCTGCACACGGATTTACACGTGCTGTTCTATCGGGGCTCGACGCAAATTGTCCCGCTGCTTACGCTGAATTCTTTACACAAACTAAAATCCGTTTTGCAACTTATAGATGGTCGGCTTTAACTCTTAATCACTCGACGTAAACGGTATCGCGTCTTAACGCGCATTACCCCACGGCTCTCTGCCAACAACCTAATTCCCACTACTTTTCTTTTTTAATCCACGCCCATTCCGTGACTCAAACCTTGTTTAACTGTAAAACTACGTTGTTTTTTTAACTTTATACGGGGTTGATCGAAAATTTAAGTAAATATTATTTTTTAATCAAGGTGGCCATGAATAGACCGAAATCGTTTTTTTATATAGATTACCGCAAAAATTCATTTTGCTTAATTTATCCCATTACAAGGATTACACACAATTTTGAAATTAGTTTTTTTACGAATACAAATAGTAATAATAAGTATTTGATCAAATGCTTCATAAAGAAAAATGTTGAACAGATAGGTCTATCTGATAAAATTTACTTCATTTGTACAGATCTGATAATGCTTTTGAGACGCTTCTATTGCATCTGATGCATGTGGTCACTATTAAATTTTCCTATCGTCCAAGCTTCGGGGCAAAAGTTGGCGGACAGATCTGGTCCGTAACTTTTAATTATTGCTGTATCTGTTCAGCGATTTAGGTGGGTGAATGAACAATTTTGAAAACATACTAGAAGGTAGATACATCAAGTCAATCGTTGATAATTCATGGAAATATCGATTTCACTACATGTCATCTTCAGGCTTAGCTACAAATAAGCATGTACTATCTTGAATATTCCAGGATTCCCGATATACATCGTGGCGCCATGAAACATTAGTCATCGACGATATAGAACGAAGGCTGATATAACGCAATCTCTTTGGGAAATATGACGTGTTTGTTCGAGAATATTCTATAATAATCGGAAGCGTCCGGAAACGTTCGAGAACTTTTGAGAAAGAGAGGCGATTGTTGTACCTTTTTTTACACAAGAGGAATCACCCATATCCAAAAATAAGGAAATTTTAATTTGAAATAAAAGTTAACTTGGTCTACTTTACTAAAATGTTTAGTTTACTAGTATACCTTGTTCAATCATATATTTTACATCGTGAAAAATGAATAAACGACTCTCTTTAATAATGTAAAAATACAATATGGAATCCCTCTAACAAAAGAAAGTTGATATTCATATCTCAGTAAACGCCATCTTGAATTTAATTTTCACATCATTTTTGCATTAAACTTTTTCATAGCGGTTATAATTATACTATTTTTTCGTTTTGTAAATCGGCGCATTCAAGGTATTCGACTTTACCAGTAGATAGACATGTCTCGTCCAGACGATATATTTTGCCTTTGTGAGTACCTACTCCCCTGCGACAAATCGTTTTCGAGATATTCGCTCTTAAAGTTTGGACATCACCAATGGATACTCGAATGGATATACATATACGCCCCAATCGCCCTTTATGAGCCGACAATCCGCTATAAGTAATTATAACCGATCACGATAAGGAGTCAACGAGGAGGACTATGGTTGGTAGAAATTGATTCCTTCCCCCCAGAGACCTTTTATTAGAGTACCATGAAGGATAAAACCAGACCCCCTCCTCGAATTCCGCATTCTGATAAGGGTTAAGAAAGAAGGGCGGCAGTTGGTAGAAAACAGTTCTTTTTGTTGAGACCTTTAATTAAAATACCATGAAAGGGAACCTCAATTTCTTCGTGTAACGATCTATTTATCTGTACAAAGGAAAATTAGTTATGGCATAAATCTTCTTATAAGTAAGAAACTTAATATTGCGCAGTCTGCGCATGCGCACACTGCACTGTTAATGTAACTTGTTTTAGATTAAATTGCTTTTTAAAACCCCGTTTAGGAGTAATTAAGGGTTAATATGTGTAAACTTAATATGAATCACAATGCTTTTGTATACGTAGTTAGTCTCCAAATACCCCTAAGTACTGTTTACCCACTCATATGCATGTTATTACTTTTTTTTTTATTGCTGTAACGGTATTTCTAACTTCACACGGCATCGTTTGAGAGTATTTTTGCTAAAAATGCGGGTTTCGTAATCGGCTGTAAAGATTTTTCATTAGCGATATGGTATTGTGTAGTAAATTAAGTAAATTATCTTTTTCCCTCAAAATGTTAATTAATATCAAAATCAACGTAAGAAATTTTTATGTGTACCCTCCGCGTTCATTTCGCCCTTATTAAGTTAGAATATGGTATTTTCCGAAATCAGCCATAAGTAATTTTTCGATTAAATCCAAAATTATTGGGAAGACTTTACACGTGCATTAAATAGTAATGGAAAAATGCTGTTTTCCATTTCAGTTCGATCTAATTGTGGTATTTACGGGTATTTATCACATCGGTCCGATTACGATCTCAACACGTGCTCTCGATGTTCTCGCTGTAACACACAAAAGTGTGTTCTCGTGTTTCACCTGTCTGGCGTTGTAACTCAACCCCTATAACTACCTACAGACACCAAGGCTTGCAGCGTTGTACCGTTGTAGTAACATTTGCGAATGCTATTCAGGAGGTTGTGGGTTCGACTCCCGTCTGTGAGGGGGTTTCTCAGGGGGGTTTCCTCAGACGTATGTAGCTTGGCACAATGTGCGTCTACGAGGCGAATGCTGGAGGTCGATCCATTCCTAAACTTTACTCATCCTGGAAAGCTCGAGCAGTCCGTCTCCGATGTCCCTGTAGTCATGGGTGTTGGAGTAGTGAAACACGTTGGGATTTAGCTTGGGGTTCTCGCTTACGTTTTTACTCCTGTTCAGCTTGTTAAAAAAATGTTGCGCTTTCTTTGTCATGTGATAATCACGCTTTCTGTAATTCCAATGTACAATTTTACACGGCTTAAGTACCAATAACTAAGCGGTGACATGTATACCAATATTGGAAGAGATACACTTCGAATAAGTAATAACTCATTTGTTTTCAGGTGAAACCGTTCCATCATCGCCATTACTTCCAGTAGCTACTCAACAAACTCCGGGACAATTACACGTTCCACATAATATTCCGCAGGGTCCACCTCCTGCATATCCAAATATTCCGTCGCTGTCCGCACACAGTCCACTACAGCATGCCCTGCAGCAGCAACTTTTACAAAATCCACAGTTCGTGCAGGCGAACGCCAATGCTAACAGTCACACGTCTGGTAAGTTTATTACTATATTATAATTACCTCCCCCGGCCGCGTCACGAATGGATTTAAACGGTTACAATTGTGCCAGTAGTTAGCATGCAGCGTACAATTACCGTCGAAATTAATAACACCGTTTTGAGAAAGCCATTAACCGTTCTCATTTTGTTGTACGCGCGTATGTAATTTGTGTCGTCATTTTCCGGACGGAGTAAAGCTTGCGGAACCATAAATGCATTTAATTCTAACGGTACACTATCAGTGCGGCGTTTTAAAGCACAGGGAAGTCTAGGTCAGTGTGGTTGGTATTCGTAGAGGGGTTACGACGCTAGGGACGCCAGGCGCCCCCGTAATGCCTCACTCTACCGTTAGACGCCGCTTTTGTCGTATCGCTGCAGGTTTTGTATGTATCTCTAATGATTGTGCCGTTGTCTCTTTGTGTTTGTGTACAACTAGGCCTATCTAATTTGTATATGTGAACGATGTGCTATTAGCCCCTTTCGGGGCAAATGGGGGGAGAGTTTATCGCCGCCGGGTCTTGGTCCACCGTAGTGCGGTTCGTGCTGAGACGGGGTTACCCGTCTAATCTCAATGATGGGCTATATTATGGGGTGCACCTGCTTTAAAGGTATGGAATACTTTATTTTTAATCGTCCTTAAATTGCTCATTAAAACGCTGCGAAAATAGCGTTCCGGATCAAAGTTTATTCTCGTATTGCTGCAGTCGTTTAAGATTTATTAATATTTAATTCTTAACCCATTACAATACAAAATTCATGTAAATCTGCATTGATTTTCATTTCAAGTTTCTTTGATAACTTTCTGATCCGTTTTAAGGGGTGAAACTGCGACTTTCGCTCGATGGGTATAAAAATAACTTCAAATGCAAAAAAAACCTCCCCAGTTTTCAAGTGTATAAGACTGTAAAATAAGGGACTAAAACTGTCATTTCTTGTAATAAATATTTTTAAGGGCAAGCACCCCGTTCTATATGCGATTTCGCAAAAAAAATTCTCCGCCTTCACATTACTGGTGCACGATGTAAGAATTTCATCAGACGCCCCTCTATTCGAAATGTGCCCGGAATTTAATCGGAACTAGTAAAACTGTCGAAAATTAGACGAGATAGCTTAATAAAAAACCAATAACGAAGCTTCCGAGAGAGCTTGTCGGTTTTCCTTAATGTACATTAATTGCACTGCCTCGGTTATATTCGATCCTAATTGGACAGGGAATTTCGAAAAGTGAGCGAGAAATAAAGTTCTCCCTTACGTTTTACCGAAGTTGCAAATAAAAGTTTTCGCTTCTTACAGAGATGGAAACAAACATACGTTCATTCAGAAGTAATTTTACTATTATTTCTTGTACGAGTTGGAAAAGACAAAGTTTGAAAATAAAAACTACATTTGGTTTTATCTCTTTTTTTCTGACGATGCTTGAAGTGAGACTGATATATTAATTATGTTGCCAAGGTTTGCTCAGTGTTTTTTTCGTATGTGCATCTTCTATACTCGTTCCTTTTCCTCTTCAGGGTGGTTGAGCTGGCCAACGAACAATATTCGTAGTTTAAAATTGTAGGCAAGTGGCGTTCCGCAAGGATTCATTTGAGGATCTCAAGTATTCAACATACTATGATGTTCACTGTCTATTTACTAATAGTAATTTTATAACTGCAAGTTACGTAGCAGATCGTACAGATCGAATTAACCAGTAAATGGGGCACTACGGACTGTGGTGAAGTAAGACAAGCGTTATACTAGACTCTAGAGCTGCAATTACCTTAAATCAACATCTGCAGGAATAGCTCCGGAACAATTATACTAATTATTTTTAATGTAAGAGATATTCCACAGGATTGCATGGCAAATTAAATCAAATCACAAATGAATGAGAGCAAGTGTAAGCACTTTCTCCGAAAAAGAAATAAATTGTAAAGGGCACGTGTCGCATTAAAAAAACTTACCTGCTTATTCGTTTTTAGTACAGCTACTAATGTTAATTTCTTACGACTGCTCCTTTGTAATCAGATAATGTAAATGTTTGTTATTTTTATTACTCAGCTTCGCTTCGGCCTGAATACTTACTCATACTCGCCAAACACTCGCTTTCTGGACTTGTATAAGTATTCTTTGGCTGAAAGTTGTAATATTATAGTCCAGATGTTGGAAAGTTTTCAACAGAATGGGAACTAAGGTAAAAGCAAATGGCAAGAACATCAAAAATAGGTTGACTTATTTTTTTTTGTGGTAGGTGGCGGTGAGCGAGTATCCGATTTCGTCAATTCTAAACTGAGTAGGTTCACATCTTTAATCCAGACTATGACTTTTCTATACGAGAAATGTGGCTTCTATGGTTTTATACTGCATTCATTATAAGAAGGTAGTAGATGGCGCTGTGTTTGAAGATAAACACACACAGGAAAAATATAAAACGGCACCAAATGATTGTAAAGTAGAAATATTCAGCACTAATGAGCTAATGACACTTCGGCAGTTAAATTGCCAACATAAACTACCACCTTACAAAATTCACCAGTCGTTTTATGTTTCATTGTAATACTGAACTCATGTTTTAACCAATCACAGTGAAGGTCAAAGCTTCCCTATGCTGTCTACCGCTACCTTCTCGTATGATTTGACAAATTTATGTATTTTTTTATACATTTTTAAGTGAGTGAGAGTAGAAAACGGACACCATGCGCCATCTTGAATTCTGTAACGTCGCATGGTCGTGGCTTTGGGTTCGGGTTTTTATGGTGGCCTGGTGATTTCCATTCAAGATAAATGTTACAGAAGATAGTCAGGATGCCAAAAGGGCACATTTAAATTTGTTTAGCTTAATTCCAATTGATCATATCTCAAATTATCAAAATCGGATGAGTACTTTTGGAGATGCCAATTTATTTTTTTAAATTTTACAAAAAAGAACATTTGGTTTTTCTTTCTGAAAAATTTAAAATGAATAATTTGCCATTTTTTAAGAGTATCGTTGCCTTTTTGGGATCTTCTAAACTTCAACCGATTGTGATACAATTTGAGACATTATGAATGGAAACTAAGTTAAATATGATTCCTAATGCAAAAGTGCCCTTTTTGTATTCTAACTCTTCATCCTGTCGGGAAATCTCTTCAGCAAGGGCACGAATGCTGTGCCGGCGAAATCGCAGAGTACGACCTTGCACGATAAAACAAGGCCACCCTCTTAGTTATGTAACCGGAAATCCCCAGATTACCACCTTACACCGCAAAACAAGTGATATAACCGCAACTCATGTTGGAAGGCGCTGTTATGGCCACTTTCTCCGTCCGTTCGAGGTCTTTAAATATTTTGAAAACGGTAGTAGTTAAGTACGGTAACGAGAGCATTTATTTAGGTTAAATTTTTTCGGAAGTTTCCCGTTGAATTATGCGGACGAAACGAGTCAAGGTTTCAAGAACATTCCACCAAACAAACATTACTCATGTTCAAGTTTTTATTTTGTCATATTGTAATAGCAGCAAGCTTCCCCCACTTCTCCCACGTTTGGCAATGAATTATTTGTTCTAAATCGCGTTTGTAGCCTCGTTGTCTGGCTTTGGTTTTGAATTACACGCTAGGAATCGGTCGTGTTAAATTACTTTTGCAGTTCTGCTAATTACCTAAGTACAGTTTGGTAAAAATGAGCTGATATTGCAGAATACGAAGTCAGTATACAGCCCGGCAAACTGGTTTGAACCAATGAAAATTAATAAAATGCCGCCGCCTTTACTATTCCACTTTTCAGTAGGCTTTAAAAAAAATTACGTCTGCCGTTAGATTAGGGCATTCGCTCTTTGGCAGTCGAGTTAATTAGAAGAGTAGTCGTCCACTTTGTTAGAATAAGGTCCACGTTAGGTTAACCGAGTTTGGAAAAATAGTTTAAGTAAATTCTCTGCCAAAAGTGGCGCTTTTTGACGATGTTGATTCCTTCTTAGAGTTTCCACTGTATAAATTATCTGCATTCTGCAACCATGTTTTACTTGAGGGATTAAGTACTGCCTTTGCAGAAACCATCCCAATAAGATAAACTACATCAGTGAGTCACGTGCGGCAACTTTCATTTGTGCTTCTAATAACTGCCAGTAATTACCGCTCGCATTAGTCTCGTAATGAATCGACATAAAAGCCGTCACAAAATAGAATTTTTGTAAAATAATGGCTTCCGTATAAATATGATGGTTGAACTGGACACGAAATCCAAACCGTTGAAAACACGTGCTGTTCGTTAATGCAACATAAAGTTTTTAATTTGCGAAGGGAAATTTATCAGGCTGCTGATATTTAGATTTGGTATTGTAATGGAGTTCGTTTCTGTGGTTGTGTATTTTGCTGTTATTGCGCTGTATGTACATATCATAAAGCTGTGGTTTTCTTTTTTATTAGAGTTATTGATTATGGATTTGTTTTAAATTATTCTACTTGTTCTGTAGACTGTGGACGTTTTAATCTGTTTCTGAGTGATTTTGGAGCAAAACTATTATCTATACCTATGCAGAAGTAGTATTTGCTTTGGAGTCAGTGATTAATAAATTTAAATTAAATTAATTTATAATATTTCATATTTGCTAATATTCACAAAAGACACCATCCAATGCACAAAACCGTCCTTCGATATCAGCAAAATTGAAGAACTAGTTTAAATGACAAGTGCGGAGAATGTAATTTGTCTTTCTGGAATATTGGAAAATGTGCTATAACTAGTATATGGTCTTTTGCGCCAAAGATGACCTTTACGTCACTAGTTTGTGGACAAATTTCCAACTATTTCCAATGGCTACCATCTCTTTCTCGGCCGCGTGTTTATATGTGATAGACAATAAATAACTTGTTTGAAATTGATTCACAAAATAGTCATCTTTGTTGCAATCGGCTTTAAAACAAAATGCCAATTAGAATTGATGTTCTGTTCACTATTATAACATCGTACGATAAAATGTACCCCTCTATAATTTTCAAACGTAAATGGCGTGTGTTAATTCTGTAAATGTGTAGGGATTTTTTTCTACTCTAACTATATTTAAAGTTATTGTAGAGGATGATCTCTTATAATTTAGAACAATGGCCTATTATACACCGATTTGTATGGACGATTCGTTGTCGGTCAAAATTTTGCTTTTGTAATAAAATGACTTTAGTAATCTTCAACTAGATGCTGATGCAATTAATGA